GGAGGTTTCTTCCTGTTAAAAGGGAGTTTTTCCTTCCCACTGTCGCCAAAGTGCTGCTCATAGGGGGTCATATGATTGTTGGGTTTTCTCTGCATGTATTATTGGAGGGTCGACCTTACGATCTAAAGCGCCTTGAGGCGACTGTTGTTGTGATTTGGCGCTGTGTAAATAAAATGAATAGAATTGAATTCTTCTGCTTTAACAGACGTGAGAATAGTGCCAACATGCAACATTTCAAACTGATTTTAAACATGCTAAAGTGCACCAACTTATTTCTGTTTCTGTATAAAAACTACAGTTTTTATAGATTTTTAAAGAAATTGTAGAAAAAAGTAAACACGGGGGTTGTAATTGGGCTGAATGCCACATGCAGGATGAGGACAGGTGAGGAAAGTCTGAAAGAACTAAAGCATGAACTAATGGCTTTCTGCTGTTGAATGTGACAATACAGAAAGCAGCAGCCTCATCAAACCCCGGTGCCATCATGGGGGGAAAGTCTCGGCTCTGCTTGTGAAAACACCATGAAAATACAGCAGAAATACTGTGATGTTAACGACCATCTGTATTCTGTATTTGTCCCCAGCATGTTTGTGGAGACTTTAGTAAAGAATACACCAAATGAAGATTTGAGTTTATCATTTATAACTTAATGTTTAAAATAAAAGAAAGAAAAACGCAGTTAAATAAATCATTCCTGTGATGACAGTAAATAAAACAACAACAAACGAACAATAATCCTGTTTAAGACGATGTGTGTTCACTCCGAGCTCTTACCGGCTTTCTTCGGCGTGCGGGTGAAGCTTCCTTTGACAGTGCGGCAGTGAGAATTGTCTCCACCACAAACCCCACATCTGTCCTCAAGCTTGCTGGAGCCAATTTCTCTGTCACAGCCAGCTTTCTGGAGACCAAGAAAACAACGACACAGATGAACCCGACTGTTTTTTGGCCGAGGGGGCGAACCGTTACCTTCACAGCGTGTCTGATGGTTTATCAGCGCCAACTGGACACGAGCTGATGTTAGCTGACTGCTGATGGAGGTGGAAGACGAGTCAGGTCAGCATTTAAAATCATGACCTCACCTGGATGATTAGACACATCGAGGGAACATCTTCCTATTTCTCGTTAGATTTTTATTCTTTGCTAAAAGGTGTCAAGTTTTGACCGTGAGCCAAAAAAACTTTATATCCATGGAGCTCCTAAAGCACCAAAATGTGACACAAGAAATCTCATCATCTTCAGGATATTCAGTAATAAACAGAAGAAACTGTTTGCTTATAATTTGCCATGTTGCTGAGTGAAAAATGCCTTCACACAGAAAAACAGGCTCTTCTTTAAATAACATCTCAGAACAAATGAGCAGTACTGGATATAAACATTATAATGAAGCCACCTTCTTCCTTCACAGCAGTGAGTACATACTGTGGATTCAACCACAGTGAACCTGATGCTGGTTTCCTTCCCTTAACTCTCTGTAATTAAATGAATTTGTGCAAAGCTTAAGAAGTCCAGCAGTCTGCAGCTGACGAGCACACACAGCTCGTAGAAATGTAGTTTGATGTAGTTTGAATTCACCCTTACCACACACTCTCCACGCACGCAGATGCTGTAGGCGTCCTTGTAAGAACATCGTGTCCCATCATGCACCAGCACCTTCATGTACGCCACATCTTCTGTCTCCTTGGACTGGCAATACAAGTGGCATCTCCTGTTTGCTGCAAGACGATGAATTCTTAGATTAGCAGAACAAACTGAAGCCACGTGGTTTTGAAACTATCTAAATGTTCCTTAGACAGACAAAAAACACCCATCAATCTATTTTGGGTTTTTTTGTTTTTTTTGAGTGGTCAAAGGATGCTCAGCGTGCGTCGAGCTTCCTGCTTCCTGTGAAGTCTGGGATAGGCTCTAGCACTGGAGTTGGAAAAGCTTGGATCGCTGAATTTTGATAACGCTAGTAGGCTGCGTGAGCCAAAAAATGCTGGTGTGGTAACAAAATTGCAAAATATGCATATTCTACGTGTATTTCTGATTTCCCTGCTTTGCAAACTGTTCCCAGTTTATTATTTATTGTTTGTGTTGCAGTGATTACAATGACCGCCTTGAATTTTAGGACATATTAACACTCATCAACACCCCGTCTGCCTCATTACAATCTCATTATAATCAATAATAAAAAGTCTACAAGGCTTTGAAAATA